TCAGTGAGGATGATGGTGATGTCGTGTGGTGGGGCTTGGTCGACAGCCTGGTGGAGTTGGTCGTAGAACGCGTCCTTCGCTTCCTCATCAGCGACATCAGTGGGGGCGTAGGCGACTATAACAGTCATCTTGCCGTGATGGTGGAGGAAGCGTGCAGACAGTAGTCTGTCGCTTATGGGCGTCCAGCTGATGAGGGACCTCCGGAGGGCTTTTGGAATGGCAAGAGCCACACCGTAAAGGCCGGTCCGACTCTCGGGGCCACTCCAGATGTAGCAATGGTTGCCTGCTGTTGTTTCGCCATTGCCTTGCCATCGCACTTCACAGAGCCCTGCCAGGCTGATGTTATAACGACAGAGCTCTCGGGACAGCAGGGTGGCAGCTCCGGGGCGAAGGAGTGTCTGGACATTCCAGGTGGCGACACGGGTCTTTCGACGAAGGTCGATCCGTACTCGTTGGTCGGGGGCAGGCTGGGGTCCGTTACCGTGTTGGTCAGTCCGGCTTCTTTCTCTGGTCAGTTTCGTAACAAAGGGGGTTTCTCCTGGGTGGGTTGTTAGCCCTCCGCAGGATAGTCGGTTGGCGGGGCTGCCGCCTCACAGCGTACCAACACGCTGGGGTCTTTGTTTGTCTGGAACCTACCCTGGAGACCGGCCTGCCATGGGTGACCCTACCAGGAGCGAGCTCCCGACAGTATCGCTCTCCAGGGTCACTGGAACACACAAGCCCCCTCGCCGCATCAAGGCCAGACCCATTCAACATAACAAAAGTTATGTAGAAAATTGATTCAACAAAAAGACACACAAACCTCATGGGCTCACATCCACAAGGGGGTTAATATCCTTGGAAGACTTGCTTGTCTCCTTCTTCCTTCATTTCATCAATAGTTAACTATACTTTTGGTATTATTTTTCGTTGTCTGTTTGAGTGTGTGTTAGCGACTGCACATCTCAATTAGAGTCGGGCAGAACCCCTTTAGGTTACATTTGGTTCCTGCTAATAATCACCACTAGATGGCACAGGAACACTAACAGGGAAACAACTGAAAAGGGAATATAAAGAGTTACTCTTAGCATTAGGTGCATCGGATTACAGGGCATACTGTTGGCTTTTGAGAAAATTGAATGTTTTTAGGTGCACCATATACTGCGGAAAATACGATAACAGAACTTGAGGTTTTTCAGATAAAGAAAAATGGCCAGTGTTCAGACAATATTCATGGTGACTTCGAAAAGCATCCACAACAGCATGTATAATGCATTTGAACATCATTCGGTAATGTGATGTTGAAGACTAAAGGCCATTAGTCAATTCAGTCCATTATTGTGGGGAGCTGTGCATTGCCAACACCATTATATGCTCACAGAGACAATATGACCGGTAAAACACAAAGCAAGAGTGAGAATTAGAATATGATTTTGTGAGAGAGCGGGAGAGAGGGTTAAGAGTATGAGATTGTGAGAAGGGGGGGGGGGGGGGGGGGGGGAGAGGGAGGGGGAG